GAGAGAGAGAGAGAGAGAGAGAGAGAGAGAGAGAGAGAGAGAGAGAGAGGGAGGGAGGAAGGGAGGCACACAGGTGTACAGTTTTACTGGGAGAATTATATAGAGACAAGTTTCGGAGAGAGAACAAACTAGACACAGGTAAAGACAGAGCAAGCCAGGAAATGAAACGGAGGCAAGAAATTAGAACATGTGGCCAAAGTTATATGATGCCAAACAGAGCAATTCAGTCAGGGGCCAAGAGTTAAGCCAGATTGAATCAGTCAGCTTGGAGAGGAGTTTGAGCCAGAACAGCTAAGTTGAACCAGCCAACTAGAGTTCAGAAAGAACTAGAAAAGGGGGTGGTCAGAATCTCAGAGCACTGACTGCTCTTCCAGAGGTCCCGAGTTCAATGCTCAGCAACCATATAGTGGCTCACAACCATCTGTAATGAGATGTTCCCCCTCTCTGGCCAACAGGCAGAACACTGTATACATAATAAATAAATCTTTTAAAAAAGAACTAGAAAAGGGTGAACATATTTGGCACCAAGTCTCAGAGGCTGAAAACATTCTAGGCCTAGATAAGATTATACAGAAGCTATAAGCTTCCAGGACTAGGACTAGGTTAGCAGACTGAGGCTGTAAGCCTTGGAGACAACAATTACATCAGGAGAATAAAAATACTGCCACAATACAGGGGTTTGATATTCAACACCATCACCTTAGAATCATAGAAATGCCTGTTAGCAGTCTGCCACAAATGTGTAACAGGGATGTGTAAAAGAAGAAAGTCTCGGAAACACTGTCACCGTCACATATACCTTGAAAGTCCTCAGCCTTTGCCTCTGACCTGTAGCATACCAGTACTGGGCGCTCTCACAGTATTTTCTGACGCCCTTGGTGTGCTGAGTTGTTAAGGTGAGTGTAGGAGATACACACGTCCACTGTCCTGATGGACCAGATGGGCCACATGTCAGGCAACAGCTGTAGAGAAACTGAGGTCCCCTCAAAAGTCAGCACTACAGGAAGATCCCCTCTCACTACCCCTCCCCCATAACGCAGAGGAGCTGAGACTGAAGGGAATGTGGTTTGCCAAAGGAGAAAGTTCACAGCAGGGCTCGGGGGTAAGGGGTGCTCATCTCTCCGACACATCCTGGTCACCTGTTAATCCCCTGGGTTGGAGGCCATTTTGTTTGAATTCTGGAAGGCTTACTGACTGCTGGAGTGACGGTGTGCATTTTGGCATGAGAGTCTTTGGAGACTTTGCAATTGGAGCCGAGTACAGGGGCTCCTGACCCCCTTCTTAGCAACCAAACCAGTGCCTCTCTCTAGACACAGCTAGGCAAAAATGACCCCTCTGCCATAACGAGGAAAACCAGGCCCGGATGGAGCTGGGTCCGACACAGGCCCCCGGGGACTCACCTGGCACCTCTGGGGATGAATTGAGAATCATGAAAGCGTCGGACAGGCCTGCCTTGACCGGGTGCTGGGCAGAGCTGATGTCCAGGATAGCCATGGGGATCTGCGGCAGGAAGAAGAGACACTGGCCATCCACCTGGGACCCTCTGTGGCCACGAAGTCTGCATTCGGCTCCACACCCAGCTCTCTGCGCAGAGCTCGAAGACCCAAACACCTGCGACTACACTCCAGGACCCCCGCCCTTCCGCCCGCATGGCTCCCTCAGCTCCTCACAGGCCAGAAGTTGCCCTTGGCTTCTCCGTCTCTTCTCACCCATCTCCAAATACTGGGAGTCAGGCCAATGGCTCTCATCTCTGCCCAGTGCTCTGTCTCCCACGTCTAAGCTGTGTCGCTTTCCCTACACCATCTCCCGGCACCCCCTTAAGTCCCCAACAATCTGTCTGCTCTGAAGACAGAGTAGCTTTTTTCAAAAGATCATCTGGTTGTTTCCCTGTCCCATCCTGTCCCCCAACCTTCCACTCCAGGGAAGCCACCTTCTATTGCACTGGTTCTCAGTCTTCCTAATGCTGCAACCCTTTAATACATGTTGTGGTGATCCCAACCATAAAAATATTTTTGTTGCTACTTTCATTGTTGTAATTTTGGTACAGTTATGGACTTAGCTATCTGTGCTTTTCTCATGGTCTTAGGTGACCCCCGTGAACAGATCATTCAACACCCCGAGGGGTCGCGACCCATAGGTTGAGAACCATTTGCTCTAGTGCTTTGTATAAACCAAGTTCTGTCCTGCCACAGGACCTTTGTACATGCCTTTCTCTCTCCTGGATCCACTGTATTCTTATCTCTGCTTCCTTCACCCCTGTTCATCCTGCGTTTTTTAACTTCTTTCCTCCAGGAAGCTTCCCTTAGTCTCTGCCCATGTGAAGATCCCCACAGCAGGCTCTTAGCACCAGAAGCCTTTATGTGTGGCACTAGTCATAGCAGCAATTCAGTGTTTGCCTTTGTAGTCATCTCTCTACGAGATTTATAGCTGTGTAAGCACCAAGTCCAGACAAGCCCAGAGCTGTCTTGGCACCAAGCCCCACCCCCACCACGCTACAGCTCCTCTACAAAGCTTTGCCGGGAAGAATGACAGGCTCTAAAATATACTCACCTCTTTGTAGCCAAAGACAATGCGGCCGTCTTCGTGAAGGGCTGCCTGGAAGGTGAAGCTGCCCTTATCCTCCCGGCCCTGGAGGTAAACGTGGTCCCACTGAACCACAAAGAGGGTCCCTGGGGAGAAGAGCAGAGACCTGGCTGAACAGGAGTCAGTGCAGGGGACCCAGAAGATATAGTGGTCAGAGACCGGCGCCATTTGTGAGTTTGAGAAGCAGGAACTAAGCAACCCAAAGACACCAGCCTGCCTTCCAAGTCATAGAAGCCCCCCAAAGATCCCGTTTCTGCTCCAGGTCCCCAAATTGCTCATCTCTTACAATGTGCACACCTCTCTCTTGCCACTCCTGACTCCTGGAAACAAAAGGAAAACATGGAAGTGCCCATCTCCTACGAGAGCGGGGGATTCGTGAGCGTGAGAAGCAGAGGAGGTCCCTGAAAAAGCTTTGATCTCTTCATCTGGCTCAACAAGGTTAGGCAGCACCACCTCAGTACCCTTCTTATAAGTGAGAAGACAGCACAGGGTAGGAGGAAAGGTAGCTGCCTGCCTGTGCGACTGTGGGCCCAGGGCTCCCAGGAAGTGGTTAGACCAGGAACACCCACCCCGGTGCTGGGTGAACTATACTCTGAGATCGGACCTCACCATTGTCAAAGTAAGCAATTGTGGAGTTGTCAGAGTAGCCGGGGTTGAAGTTGGCCATCAGGGGTGCCACATACTGAGTAGCTGTGAGCATCCGGTGGAGCACGTCACCCATGAAGATGAAGCCTAAGGACAGAGAAGTTTGGAGGTGTCATCAGAGATGGTTCAAAGGGCTACCTCTAGGGTTTCCCCACCTCCCCCACTGGCAGGGGCTAGAAAAGAGTCAGATGGCCTCAACCCTTCCCTACCGAGTGGGTTCAGAATTTGGTGAGATAGAAAAATGACTTTAGAAAAAATAATGCTTGCCCCATATCTCTCGGTAAGCACAGACCACAGAGGATAGGAAAAGGAAGAGGAAGTGACTTCCAACCTCTCCTGTTTCAGGAAATAGGATGAAAGTAACAGGAAGTCAGAGAGGCTCCTCTTATCAGGGAGCCTTGCTCCCTCGGTCTCAGGAACAGAGACCCCAGGGGTACACATGCCAGCTGTTTGGGTCCAGAGGAATGCAGGCATGCTCAGACTCACACAGGCAGGCATGCACACAGATCACGTGATTTCAGTGGGACATTCGAGACATCCTCTGAGTTCCTCCCTCACCCACCTATCCACCTGTTTTCAGCGAGTCCCTCAAGAGCCTTCCTGAGTCAGGCTGAGACCTCCAAGTCCTCCCCCCTACCTTATTGGTTTGTCCTTACCTCCAGTTGCTATGGTGATCTGCCGCAGAAGATGCCCATAGAAAGGGAAATCAAAGGACAAGACCACTCTCTGCAGGGACAAGAGAGAGTCCCCATGGGTGGTACTGCCAGCCAAACACTGGTCACCCTCCCTGCACCACACTTATCTGAACAATGTGGGTACAGGTATATCCAGGGTAAGGCTCCTAGGATTACAGCTGGGTACCCCACTGGGCTTCCTCTGACTGAACCCACCCCAATTACAAATCTTGGACCATAACCATGTGTACTCCCAGGCAGTCATTGCTGGCATAGCTCCGAACTTCTCAGCCCAGGCTGTCCTGTCAGGCCTAGGCACTCACCGAAGCCTGTCGGTGAGAACTTGAGAGGATCCTGTGGACCCTCACTTGGCTCGGGTTGGCCACATCCAGGTCCACCCATAGATCCTGGCTTCGTTTCTCACCAGGGCCATAGACACGGGACACATAGTAGTTATGGTTGTCTTCCTGCGGGGACAGAGACAGAGCCCATAGGTGGTATGAGGAGTCAGGCAAGCTGGGCACCATCCTCTGCCCCTCCCTGCCCAGCCTTCCCAATATTCTCCTGGTCCAGAGCACCTGACCTACTGCTTTTGGCCTGAAAGCTCTTGGGACATCCTTGGTGAGTGCTATCCCAAGCCATTCCTCTACAAGTCTGCCACTTGCTCCATATATACTCAGCCCTGTCCTGTCCGCCAGAGGCTTATCCTGTAACTCTGAATGTTTCAGAGCATGACAAAGGCCAAGTTCAGTATTGGGGACATGATGGAGAAGCCCCAGATAAAGTCTTTGTTTCAAGGACCGTGCCTAGACCACAGAGGACACAATCTCTGACCTGCCCTAAGAAAAAGGAGAAATACAACAGCTATAACAACTAGGTCTTAGATGTCTAATGGAGAAGGTTGTCACCAATCTTAGGGAATTGCTAGTCTGTTGGCAGAGGCAGGACACAGTCAATGGAACCCAGACATAGAGGCATGAGCAGAACAGAAAACAGTAGTGCTCTCTGTGGTCTCCAGATGGAGGAGAGAAGCAAGGAGTTCCTCAGAGGATGATTTTGCATCTCCTTGTGTGGCTGATGCAGACACCACAGCAGGCTGGGTTCTTTCCACAGTCTCCCTCAGAGAAACATCTGGGGCCAATGTTTATAGCAGGCCAGGGAAAGCCAGTGAGCTGGGATGTCTCAGCACTTCCTGGAGCTGTCCCAAGAGCACCTCACAGAAGGCAGCATCAGGGAGGTCAAAGGCTCCCAAGGCTTCCTCAGCTGCAGTGATGCCCTGGGCATCATGGATCATTAATCAGGCTGCAGACACAGCAGAGCAAACCATGTTCTTCCTGCTGAGCAGCCAACTGCCCAGCCAGCGCTTGGCCTGAGCCCAGTGGAAGCTGGGAACTGGGGCCCTGACCACTGTATGCCCGCAGAGAACAGAGTATGGTTCTGACCAGAGATTCCCTGTGAGCACATTTTAGAGCCCTAGGGTTGGGGCGGGCTGAGGGGGGTCTGCTGGGACCACCTGCTATTGCCAGGCTACATTCCCCTTTCAAACCAAACAGTTTAATAAAGGCCAGCTCTGGCTGGAGAGACAGCTCACTCTTCACTAACAGTGCTTGCTGCTCTCCTGCAGAGGGCCAGCGTTCAGTTCCCAGCACCCACACTGCAGGGTTCACAACCGCCTGTAATGCCAGCTGTAAGGGATCTGGTCTCTGTGGGTACCCACATGAACATACACATAAGTAGAAAGAAAATAGATCTTGTTTTTTTTTAGGTTTTTCGAGACAAGGTTTCTCTGTGTAGCCCTGGCTGTCCTGGAACTCACTCTGTAGACCAGGCTGGCCTCGAACCCAGAAATCCGCCTGCCTCTGCCTCCCAAGTGCTGGGATTAAAGGCGTGCACCACCACTGCCTGGCGAAAATAAATCTTAAAAAATAAAAAAGAGCTTAAATTTTGAAAAAGGAAATCAAGCCCCTCCCACACCTTGTTGGTTTTTGTTTTGGTTTGCTTCTAAGACAGGGTTTCTCTGTGTAGCCCTGGCTGGCTTCTGTAGACCAGACTCTGCCTCCCAAGGGCTGGGATTAAAGATGTGCACCACTACTGCACAGGTAGTTTTTGACACAGGGTCTCAAATAGCTCAGGTTGGCCTAGAGTTTGCTATGTAACTAAGGCTGGCCTTGAACTCCCAGTTCTCCTGCATCTACCTCTCAAGTGCTTAGGACTTCAGGCATGTGCAACCATGCTGCCTTAAATGACTGCTTCTGCTTCAACTTGAGCCTCTGACACACAGGAACAAGTGAGTCACCTCTGTACCTGTGGACCAAGGCTATCTCTGTCCTGGTCAGTTCTCAAAAAAAAAAAAAAAAAAAAAAAAAGTGTGGGAGTCAGACAGAGCATTAATCCCAGGAACTTGGAAGGCTAAGTAAGCCAGCTACAAGTTCAAGGCCAGTCAGAGCTACATAGAGTCTGGGTCGGCCCAGATAATTTATTGAGATCCTGCCTCAAAATAAAAAATAAACACAAAGTAAGCAAAACCCAGCTTGAGACACCGCAGCTCAGTGGGAGACCACACGCAAGGCGCAGGGTCTGGTGACCAGGAGAGCAACCAAAGAAATTTCAACAAACTGTTTTGGAGGCACAGTGTGCCCTCTTATGACTAAGAGACTAGTGGAGGGATGGGGTCCCTGCAGGGGATTGAGAGTTTGGAAATAAACTTGCCCCCTCTAATCTCAGGCTAAAAGCCTGTTTGGCACTGGAGGGGAGGATCGGGAAGGATGTTCAAACCCTTGAGCATGCGACAGTAGCTTTAAACTCAGCCTAACGGGTGTCCAATCCCATTTTCTAGTACCTATGACAGTGGCCTTCCTAGAAAGCAGAGTCTCTACAGGTAAGAAGAGTCAAGGTCGCCCTGGATTAGAGAAGCTTGATCCAGTTGCTGCTGTCTTCGTTGTTGATGTTGTTTTAGACATGGTTTCTCTATGAGGTCCTGTCTGTCCTGGAACTAGCTCTGTAGACCAGGCTAGCCAACTCAGAGATTCACCTGTCTGCTGGGATTAAAGGTGTGAGCCACCACAGCCCAGCTGCTGTGGTGGAGGGCACTGGAGGGCAAAAGCCAGACAGTGGAAATGAGACCCAGGAAGTCATGTGATCATGAAGGCAGAGACTGGACTGATGTCCTTAGGCCAAAGAGAGCCAGGGATGCCCAGGAGTCACTAGGAGCTAAGAGGCTGGCAGGAGAGGCTCTTCCCAGGGCCTCTAGAGGGATGGTGGCTTCAGACTCTAGGCCTGAGAAAATGAATTTTTTCTTATGGCAGAAAGTGAATTCAGGTACCCTCCGCTGTGTGCAGCTGTGGTTCAGTGGGGACAGTCTGGAATTGTTTGCCTCTTTCCCTGTCACTCCTTTGCTTAGGACACCCTGGTGCCCAGCTAGAGAGAATGAATGTTGGGCCTCTTACCACAATGTACAAGGCCCTGTGGGCCCGAATCGGGCATTGCCTAGCCAACATGCATTCCTGATTCCTCTTCACTAACGGAGCATTAGAGTACGCAGTATTTCCAGCAAACAACAGCAAAATGGAAAACAAACAACTGGCTATTGAGGTTTTAACGGGATCTTTGGGAAGAAATCCAATTTAGATGCTTGTCCCGGTTAGCTTTTTCCTTGTCTCTATCCTGTCTGGCATGCAGACCCGATAGCTGGATCTCCAAAAACCACATCATAAGTTTAAGGGCAAGTACCACATCCTAAGGATTGTAGAGTACCGAGCTGGATGGGGCCTAGGTTTTTTGATGACATGTTGGAAGGATGCCTCTTACATCTCTGATGCCCTTCACCTAAACAAGCCCTTCCAGATGGCAGTGGTCTGATCCTCTGCCCACCTCCACTTCTGCACCCTCCTTTCTCTCCCTGCTTACTGGGTTTCTGTCCATTGGGCTTCTCTCTGTTCTGGAAATCATCACATTTGTCTGCCTCAGGGCCTTGGTGTCTCCTGTCCTTAAAAAAAAAAAATCCCATGATCCATTCAAAAGATGGCTCCTTAACCAGGCCTAGTACAAATGCCTGGAATCTCAGAACAACAGCCATCCTCAACTACAGTGAGTTTGAGGCTAGCCTAGGCTGCATGAGACCCTGTCTGGGGCGAGAGTGGAGTAGTTGACTGCTCAGTGAGGGGTCACTCCCTTAAGAGACTATCTCACACTCTGAGTCTCTCCCTCAGAGATATCTTATCTGGCTGCTTCAAGTTTTCCTTCATTAAGATTTACTTACTTCTGGGCTGAAGAGATGGCTCAGCTGTTAAAGGCTAGGCTTATGATAAAAAATATAACATCTAGTTCATGTATGTGAGTGTTTTGCTTGCATATATGTCTGTGTACCAGGTGTGTGCACGGTGCCTGAAGAGGCCAGAAGAGGACAGTAGATCCCCTGGAACTGGAGTTACAGACTATTGTGAGCCACAATGTAAGTGCTGAGAATTGAACCTGGGTCCTCCAGAAGAGCAGCCAGTGCTCTTAACCTCTGAGCCATCTCTCTAACCACCCTTACTGATTTTTATACCGATAGGACAAACGTTCCCTCAAGTTAGGGGCTGCATCCCCCTAGGGAGATCTGGCCCAGAGCAGGGCTGGCTGAGCAGGACACAGGACACAGGACACAGGACACAGGACACAGTTAGAGGTCTGCACAAGCTCTGTCTGTTTTACAGCTTCCATCACTGGCTCTGGACGTGTTTCCATGCAAGTATGACAGCAGGAGAACACAGCGTTTTGGGGACTCATGGGAGTCCCTTGAGCCCCACCCTTTCCCGGGATCCTGAGCAGCCATGTTGAGGACGGCACATGGTGACTGAGAGGAGTCAGACTCTGTCAGCCTGCTTCTTAGGACTCACAAGGCAAGAGCATCCCCAAACCTGGGAGATAAACTGCCACACCCTGACACACAAACAGATGCCAACACATCTCTCGTTACCTCCTTTAGAGAGAGCGGGGGCTCTGGGAATGTGTCTGGCTGGCCCATTGCTCTGAGTCCTGTACACCATGGGATATCAGATACCACGGTCCACAGCCTGTGATGGCCCAACTCCCAGCTGCAGCATTTGAGGGAGGTATGTGGGCTCATTCTTGGAGTGTCCTATGGGGCCTCCAGTGACATCTTTGAGGTGACAAAAGATTGTACTCATTCAGATCAAGGGCATTTAAGGAGCTGTCACCTGTAACTCTGTCCCAGTCCCTTCCAGCTGCTAATATCATGACAGGCTGGGAACGTGCGGCACAGGTTCTGCTCCAGGTGGGAGGGGCTATACCTGACCAACGATGACCCTTCTTGTTGGCAGGTCCTGAAGCATGCACACCCTCAGAACATAGACACATATATATGTACCTCACATGCACCCACACTCCAGGCCACACATGCACAAATAGGCATAGACACACATGTACATATATGGAAACAAACACACACACAAAGAAACATGTGCAC